CCAGTGCCCTCGTGGGAAATGCGCTACTGCAGGGTTAATGAGAGTACCTGTCCCAAAGGGCTCCACACTATTACAATTCCCAACCTAAAATGAGAACACGGAGGCCCAAAGCTTTGAGGCCCTTGTCCAAGGTCACTGGCTGGTTCCTGGGCACTACACAGTAGACTTGACACCAGGGCAAGGCTATGCAAAGGGAGGGCAGTTCAACCAGTTTCCCCACTGGCACAACTTCTCCAAGCTTCTCATGTGATCCTTCTAGGGGACAGCTCAGCCATGCCCATATGGTAGATTTTGCTCAAGGTAACTTCAAGGACAAGTGCATTCTTGACCATATTTTGGCAAATCCTGCTCAGGGACTGTCCCAGCAATGCTGGTCTAGGTTCATGAGACTGCCACATCATTTTGGGGTACAGATCTGAGACCTCAGACCATGGGAGAATGAATAGGGAATCCATCCCTCTACAAGGGCATGCCATTCGATAGCCACAGCCACGAGCCAAATGACAGAGTCATGCAAGCTCTAAGACCCCATACCATCAATACCGACCCACCACCAACAGCAACAGCAACAACACATCCAGCATTCTAGGAGGTCCTCATCCACAGAGCCTGCCTATCTGTCCCAATCCTCTCATACTACAATAGTCAAATAAAGCAGGAGTCCAAACTTAGTCTGACAGGACAGGTTGTTTGAGTTATGGTTTCTAGAGGCACCTTTTGGCTAAAAAGGGGGAAAAATGTGATTTGTTCTAAGTCTATGCCCTTCAGGGACCCACAGGTCAATGGACCGGAGAGAATAAGCTCCACAAATGGGGAAGCTAAGATAGCTCCCACTTTCAAGAGCCTACTAAGTGCTAGATGTTTGCTGGGGGTGAGCTTCATGCAATGAATTATTGAGGTGTTGATAGGTTGAATTATTATATATTACATAGTGAGTTACTCTATATTCTATATTGAATTATTGACACATCCAACAATGCTACTCTTTAGAAGAATCCTAGGAAGAACCATCATTGTGTGTACCTGACAGATGAAGAAACAAAAACTTTTTTTTTTTACCTGATCATCAGCCAAAGAGGCCCTGGCAATGAGTCTGAGATCCACCATTTACCTTGGGTCTGTTGATTACCATCTGCCAAGTACTAAAGGGTGCAGTTCCAGCAAGAAAACCAGCCATGAGAGGTGCAAGGGCAAACAAGGGCAGGTCATCCATGACAAGGACCTAAGAACTTCTCCTGGGTCACCTCAAGTGACCCAACCGCAATGAAGTACGTGAAGGTCATGGCTACAGTGCATCGCCAGGACCGGATGAGAGGAGGCACTGGAGCTAATCTGGAATCAAGAGTTCCAAGGCACTGAAGGTACAGCCCTGATTGAATGTGCCAGGCCAGACCCTGGGTAATTACCCAATCATAATAGGATCTGATATTTATATTAGTCATGAGCCTGACAGAGAAAATGTGTTGCTTTCTCAGACACAGCCATGGAAACAACACCTCAATAATTCATTGCACGCAGACCATCCTTGAGTAAGCCCAAGATCCTACAAAGAACCACAGCCCAAATTGACAATAGCAGTGGGTCTACATCCAGCCACACAGACTCCCCCCTCACCTCCCTACAAACCACAGTTTCAACAAGAGGGCAGCCTCAGTTTCCCCAGACATTTAAAAAGACATGTAGAGAGAAGGAGACCCTGTATAGAACAGAACAGAAGAAAGAAATGGTTCATACCCAAGTGAGCTCAGACTAGGTTCCTAAAAGGACTGCAAGGAACTAGGAGACATGCTAAAAGAAGCTTTACCCATGGTCCCTTGCTCCTTCTACTTTGCTGTGTGGAAGCCAGGAAGGGACAAACTCAGAGATTTTACCCCTCCTATTGCACACACAGGGAAAGAGAGACCAGAGAGGTCAAATGACTTCTTCAAAGTCATGGCCTTACCCAGGATATACAGCATGCCATGATATACAGCATCTCCCTGTTTACTAGAGTTGAACACTTCAAAATGTCAGGGGCAACAGTACAGAGAGCTCTTGACAAAATCTAACAGTGAAAATAACAACCACAACAACAATAATGTGAAAAAAGGACAAAAAAACAACAACAACAACAACAAAAAGGCCAGAATGCCCAAGTTTCCAACAGGGGGAAATGTGGCAGGTTTTCTTTTATTTCCTAAAAATGACCACATTCCAGTCTTTTAACATACTAAAGTCGTGAGCTATGCTCTGTTCAGAGGCCAAAGGTACCAGTGACAGGGGCCACATGATGCTTATACCCTGTCTTGGGTTTCTCTGATCAAAAACAAAGGTTTAGACCAAGGCCAAATGTGTCAGAGAATTTCACTAGAGCTCTCTGCTGAAACTTCACTAACTGGGAATCTCAGATATTGAAACCACCCAAGATTCCAGCTCCTCCTCAAACTCCCTCAGGCCTCCACAAAGATGCCTGAAGACCAGCAGGACTCTGAAAAGTCAGCTGAGGTCTGCTTGGGAAGACTAAAATAATTGCTCTAAACTTGAGCCAAACGCTCTCTTCTCCACCAAGTCTCAAAAAAACCATCAAATACTCAGAAAGCAAAAAGAACAAAGGACAAAAAAAAGAAAAACTTATTGCAAAAAGGATATAAACCTCAGGGGTAAAAAGAAAAGCTTATAAAAGCTCTGACTGACCATTATTGGATAGAGTGAGCTAATTACACATGGTTTAATTAAGCAAATCAAAGGGCAAGTCAAGAGATGCTGGGCTGCTTTAAAAATGGACTCATAATATCAAAAATAACTTGGTCTCATTCTACATTGGCCACATATCTTTTCAATCAACCACAATCACCTCCTATCCCAGGTTGATTCCTTCTAGAAACTGCTAGCTATGTCCACTCAGCTGGCCTTGAAACTACAAAAGACAGCCAAATATGTACAGATTGTTTTTCCTAATGATCTTTGCCAAAAAAAAAATTCTCTATTACCTTAAGAAAACTGACAAAAGCTCTGCTTGGTCATCATTTAGGAAAGAGTGGCTCTGCATGAACTATCTATGAGTGTTTTGTACCCTGCAGTCACAATAAGTAACCCCGAGTACACGACATGAAGCTACATTTGAATCCCAGGATTCCAAACCCACATCTTATTTTGACTCGCGGAAAAGAAAATAAGTTCATTGTGATCAAAACTGCCCACTTTTTAACAAACCAGGAGACTGCTTTTTTTTTCCTTGTAAGTGCATACATATCACTCTGTCTAGAAATATTTTAGACACACATGACGCTGAGCGGTGTTTCCCCTGAGGACAGTTGGTGAATCTCAGTAAAAAGGGAGAAAATCCCAGAGCTGGAGCTTGTGAAGAAGGAGAGAAGAGGATCTGGGTAAAGAAGACTCTAAGTGAGCCATGGCAAGGGCAGCTGATGGGTGCCTAGGGCATTGCCTACTCTTGGGGCTTCTCAAGGAGGTGCCAGGTCTTCTTCCCTGACAAAGAAGGGAATCTCCAACATGGAATATAGCTGGTGAGCCCACACGGTGAGAAGAATATGGATTTTTTTCTCCCTTTTTCCAACACATCAGTGTTTTCCAAAACAAAAATGCGCTGCCACAAAACACAGCTGAGCTCCAGCACCTAACAAGATGTATAATTAATGACCAGGGAGAAAGGGCTTCAGTTCACCCATGGGGGTTTTACAGCCAGCCTCCCCCACACACACACCTACACCTCCCAACACACACACAGCTACAAGTTGCTGTGCCCCGACAAGTTAGAAGGGTCCTGGGATTAACTTTACTGGGAAAGCTGTGAACATTCAGGGACTGAGATGTCTATCGTGCAACACTTCCCTGTGTATCATACCCTCTTCCCCAAAAGCTGGATGCTCTTATCTTTGATGGAAATTTCAGGGAGCTGTAGCAGCTCAGTGCTTCTTTCTTCCAGGTCTATTAATATTAATAATATTATTATTACTATTATTCTGCAGTTTTCAATCAAATACCGTCCCTGTCCCCTATCTCCAGTCAGTGGTAGGTGACTGGCAGGGACAACTCTAGGGAAAGGCCACAGTCCAGGAAGTTAGCCTACCAACCATACATTTAAGGCGGCTGCTGCTGCTGCTGCTGCGCTGGTGGGCGTCTGCGCTAGGATAGCTTAAAGGAACGTCCAGCTGCGGCCTCCGCGGACTCAGGCAGCCAGCACTCCAGCTCCAGCCCCGGGCTGCTGGTGGTTATTTCCGGGGACTCAAAACGGATGGCCAAAGGGGCCACCGAAGAAGTTGGGGTGTGTAAGAGGGAGAGCGAGAGTGATGTACAAGAAAAATCTAAGAGATGGAGTGGAAGGTGACATCAGATTTGCGACCTCGCGACGTTCCTGAAGTAGCAAGCCCCAAATGGGTTCCCTACAATTCTGGGATGTAGCTCTTCAACTTTTTCTTGCCTTCCAACCCCCCCCCCACACACACACCTCCACAGCACCCCACTTTCTCCCCCGGGATTCCCTAGTGCAAACGAGTGTGTGTGTGTGTGTTTCTCCCTGGCCCAAGGACCTTTCTTTCGGACCCCCACAAGCTCAAACCTCCCCAACGGGCTCCTAAAGGACCGCTGGGCAGCCCCTCGCCCACCGCCGAGGAGCCGAGCCGAGCCGCGGCAGGTGAGCGGTCCGCCCGCGGCACGCACCCAGCGGGGCCCCTCACTTCCTCCATCCCCGCGGGGCTGGCGTTCCTCAACCCCGCACCGTGGCACCCCAGAGGGGCGCGTCTCCCATCCAGGTCCCGGCCGCAGTCGCCAACTACCCTACCATAAACAAGGGAACCGAGATAGCACGGGGTGTCCGGGTGTCCGCGTCCCGGGGCGCACCGGCGGGGGTGGGGTGGGGGACCCCACACGGCCCGCTGCCCCCCATCCGAGGACGCAGGCAGCTCGGAGGGCAGGGAAGAGAAGGGAGCGCGGGCAGGGGTGCGGGCGGCGCGGGGAGGTGGGCTGCGGGGGGCGGCGGGGCGGGCGCAGGGCGCGCGCGTTACCTTGGTCTTGCCCCCGCAGTGGCAGCACACGGTCCACAGGTACTTGAGCGTCCGCCAGAGCAAGATGATGAAGAGGCCCCCGAAGAAAGTCACCATGGAGGAGGCCAGGAAAGCCCACCACATGCGCTG